GAATGCCCCTTGCGCGCGTCCCGTCGCAAGAATCTTTTGCAACACAAATGACGAAGTGCACGCGCGCGTCGTCGCGCGCGCATGCCGAAATCTGGTGAAAGTCGAAAACGTGCGGTTGCAGAACGATTTCAAAACCGAATGTCCAAAACACAAAACAAACACATGGTTTCGCAACCTCAGCTTTCAAAAAAGCGTGCGATCGCGCACTTGCGCATCCTTGAGAAAACCATAGTTTTGCTGTTGTTTGCTTTGTGTTTGTTTGTTTGTGTTTGAATATAGTGTGTATATATATATAAATGTATATGTATATGTATACATTTGTATACACACATAATGTCAACATTTTCATGGAATTCTGCTGAGCGGGCCTTTGGCGCCGCATGCCGACATCATTCGCACGCCACTGCGCGCGTGCTGGCGGGGGGGCGCGGTCCGTGTCAATCAAAACCATGCGGCCCACTCTCGCGCGTCGGCTCATTTCAAAGCCTTCATCACCGACGCGAGGACGCAGTCATCGTCGTCGGCTTGCACTGGCCGCGCCTTCGTCTGTGTCAACATCGTCACCAACATCGCTACTATCATCATCGCGTCTACCGTCGTCGACGTTGCCATGATACCGCGCCTGGCCAAGTCGCCGACTCGCAGTGAAGTCCGCTGGGATGTGCCCAGCGGTCAGCGCCACCGCGGCCGCGTTGGTGGAGCCAAACTAGTTGGCCGCTGCGCGCGCGTGCTAGGGTTGGCGCGGCCGCAGAGATGCACCAGCCAACGCTAATCATGCATCGCAATCGCCACCGAATGGGTTTTGCAAAACAACATTCGGGTGGGTGGGTGGGATGTTTGCAAGAGCATGGGATGTGTCAACACGCTTGTTAAAACCAATTCTCCAGCCGAGAAGGGAAACAGGTTCTACCATCCTCATCCCCCGGGGTTGAAGACCCCCCCCGAAACCGATGCAAATCACATCGGGTTCTGAGACCCAATGTCCATCCGACCTTTGAATTCATGCCATCCCAGCCAGGCCGGTATCGCCCACCCCCCCCGCCATCTTCTGCAACAGAATTTATGCGCGCACACTCGTTCATCAAAAGTCATACGTTTTCCCAGATCCCTTGCAACAGAACATGACGAAGTGCGCGCGCGCGTCGTTGCGCGCGCGTGGCGGAATCCTTCAAAAACCTTCGGTTTCGAAAGGATTTCAACATCGAGTGTCAAAATACATATGAAACACATGGTTTCGCAACACGTCTTTTTTAAAAAAGGATGCGCGCGCGCTCTTGCGAATTCGTAAAGGAAATCCAACAGGTTTTTTTTCATTTTCAGAAAGTTCAACCAAACGAGCTTCGCGCGCGCACGTGCCGAAATCGTTCGATCGCCCATGCGCGCGTACCGTCGCGGGAATCCTCTGCAACAGATGGGACGAAAGTACACGCGCGCGCGTCGTCGCGCGCGCATGCCGAAATCCTTCACCTTCGGTTCCGGAAAGGTTTCAAAACCAAGTGTCCCCAAACATATACAAAAACAAAAGGTTTCGCATCGCGGATTTTCAACAAAAGCGTGCGCGCGTGTTCTTGCGAGTTCTTCAGAAAATCACGCGTTGTTCCAACATGTTAATATCATGCTACCAAGCGGGCTTCGCACGCGCATGTCGAAATCGTTCGAAGGCCCTTGCGCGCGTGCTGGCGTGGCACCATCCGTGTCACATCATATCATGCGAGCCACTCTCGCGCGTCTGCCGCGCGCGCATGTCGAATTCCTTTCGAAACCTTCATCACCGACGCGAAGACGCCGTCATCGTCGTCGGCGTGATCGGCATCGGCGCCGTCATTGGCCGTGCCGTCGTCGTTGTCAGCATCGTCGCCAACATCGCTACTATCATCATCATCGCGTCTACAATTGTCGACGTTGTATGATACCGCGCCCGCCCAAGTCGCCGACTCGCACTCGAATGCGCCCGCCTGGATGTGCCCTGCGGTCAGCACCACCGCGGCCGCGTCGGTCGCGCCAAACTACTTGGCCGCTGCGCGCGCATGCGCGGGCTGGCGCGGCCGCAGGGATGCACCACCTAGCGCCAAGCACTCATCGCAATCGCCGCCGCATGAGGTTAGCAAACCAATTTGCGGGTGGGTGGGTGGGATGTTTGCGCAAACAGTGGAGTGGACAACTCATTGCGAACAGAAATTAATTTTCCTTTCTAAAAACAGAATAGACGCTACCCCCCCGTGGCGTTCGCCGCCCCCCGTTTGGGTATGTAAGTTATTTATGATTCTGACCACATGTCCATCCTAATTATGAGTTTACATTATCCCAGAGGAGCCGGTATCGGTCCTCTTGAGGTTCCTTTGTAAAAATCGATGCGTGGGGACATATTTTGTTCAAACATAACATTTTTCCACGAATCCCTAGCAACAAATGGGACGAAATGCACACGCGCGCGCCGTCGCGCGCGCATGCTGAAATCATTCAAAAACTTTCGGTGCCATAACGATTTCGCAATCGAGTTTCCAAACAACATGCAACAACACATGGTTTCGCAACACAGATTTGCAAAACAAACTTGCACGCGAACTCTTGCGAAATCTTGACAAACCCATGGCTTTTCCAATATTTTTACAACATGCTACCAAACGGGCTTCGCGCGCGCATGTCGAAATCTGTCGAACGCCCTCGCGCGTGTGCCGTCGCGAGAATCCTCTGCAAAAAAAGGGACGAAGTGCAGACGCGCGCGTCGTCGCGCGCGTATGCCGAAATCCTTCAAAACCCATCGGTTTCGGAAGGAATCCAAAATCGTGCGTCCAAAAAACCTTCAAAAACACAAGGTTTCGCAACACGGATTTTCAACAAAAGCGTGCGCGCGCGCTTTTGCGTCGTCGTCGTCGTCGCCGTCCTCCCTCCTCCCACGTCGTCGTCGTCGTCGCCCACGTCGTCCTCTGTCTTTCCTCGTGTTCGTCGTCGTCGTCGTCGTCTTTGGCGTCGTGGTCGTTTCCGTCGTCGTTGTCGCCGTGGTCGTCCTTCCTCCTCCTCCCTCCTCCCTCGTCGTCGTTTTCGTTGGCGACGTCTCGTCGTCGTCTCCCCTATTTCGTCGCCGTCGTCGTCGTCGTCGTCGTCGTTGTCGTCGTCGTCGTCTTCCCTCCTCCCTCGTCGTTGTCGTCGTCGGCGTCGCCGTCCTTCCTCCTCCTTCGGCATTCGCGTCGTCGCCGTCCTCCCTCCTCCCTCGTCGTTGTCGTCGTCGTCGTTGTCGTCGTCGTCCTCCCTCCTCTCCTCGTCGTTGTCGTCGTTCGTCGTCGTTGTCGCCGACGTCGTCGTCTTCGTCGTCGTCGTCTTCGTCGTCGTCGTCGTCGGCGTCAGCGTCGTCGTCGTCTTAGTTGTCGTCGACGTCGGCGTCGTCGTCGTCGTCGCCGCCGTCGTCGTCGTCGTCGTCGTCGTCGTCGGCGTCGTTGACGTCGTCGTCGTCGTCGTCGGTGTCGTCGTTGTCGTCGTCGTCGGCGTCGTCTTCGTCGTCGTCGTTGTCCTCGTCGTCGTCGTCGGCGTCGGCGTTGGCGTTGTCGTCGTCGTCGTCGTCGTCGTCGTCGTCGGCGTCGTCGAAGTCGTTGGAGACGTCGTCGGTGTCCTCGTAGTCGTTGTCGGCGTCGTCGTCGTCGTCGTTGTCGCTGTCTCCTCGTCGGCGTCGCTGTCGATGCCAAGTGCCATTTAGTAACCACCGTCACGGTCTTAAGAGATTTTGCAAATGCAAACCAAGTTGCGGGTGGGTGGGTGGGATGTTTGCAAGAGCGCGGGATGTGTCAACTCGTTTGTTAAAATCAATTACACCACATAGATTACACCGCGTGGACTGCACCGCAATTATCGATTGCTAGAAACACTCTGCTCGGGATCCACGCCGGTTAACCTTCTATTCTGTATGATAGTTGTCATACTTGATGGCCTGCCCTTCAGTGCGCCCATGACGGGTGACCTTTGTGGAGCCACGGTGTGAACAAAACACAATGTCGGATTGTCGGATGGCTGGGTCTTGAGTTGAATCGCAGCGCAGAAACAATTCGCAGATTTTTCGGTTTTTCGGGGCCTTCGCCGGGCCTCGGGGCCGTCAAAAGACGGCCGGCCGTGGGGACAAAGTCGGGACTTCCAGGGGCTTTGTCACGCATCGAAGAAGCATGGATACAGACATTCGAGCAAGAACATCGCCTTTGGGAGGTCCGCGCGGCTCCTGTGGATCGGCGCTGGAGGCCCCCCCGGAGGCGTCTCTGGCGCCGCCCCTGGCGCGCTCCGCTGCCAGGCAGGGGAGTCCAGCGCCGACCCAAGTGATCGTTTTCTTTTTCATTGTTTTGCCGATCGGCGCGGGCCCTCGCACCCCCTTCCCCACCCCATGGAGTAGATCTTGGCTATTTCTGGCGCCCGTTTCGAGCAGATGGGGTCTTCCCCCTTAGGACGCACTGCTGGAAACAGTCGCATTAAGCAGAGGTCCAGAGCCAGACACCCCTCCCTCCCCGCCCCGTCCGCCCAATGTCGAAACGCCGAATAAGAAAACGTTCACCAATGTAGCCGCGCGGTCCTCCAAGCGTTTGTGCTTGTGCCGTTTTTTGCACCCTACCCGGGGCGCTCCGAGATCGACTCCGCGCGGGGGATGCCCCAGAGGGGTGCCCCGGAGCGACCGCTGCGGGCTTGGCCGCCTGACGGCGGCGGCCTGTGGACCATCGAGAAGCCAGCCCTGCGGGTCCAATCGGCGCTGGGGTATCGGACACCCCTGCTGGCTTCATTTGGCTGCTTAACGTCGGCGAGCGAGGGGGGGGAGATGAAAAGGAAAAGGCCCTCTCAGAAGGCGGCGGGACTTCTCAGAAGCCCTCGCGCCTTCTGAGAAGTTTGTCTGTCTTCGGGGAAGACTTAGACAACTTCTCAGAAGGCCAGCGGGGGAATTCCGAGCCTTCTCACTTCACTCCCGGGCTCGTCGCCGAGCAGATACGCTGCAAGTTCTGAACCCCATCCGGCTCCTCAGAGCTATTACCCGCAGGGGTAGGCTTCGCATGCGGTTGCCTAGACGGCGTGGTCGGCTCTTCACGACTTCGGATCTCGGGGACTCCGCGCCCGCGGGCGCGTGGCTGGCGGGGCTGCTGGCCGGCCGGCGTGTGGGCGAGCTGGTGTCGTTCCCGCAGCTCGAAGAAGACTTGTCGGCCGGCGCAGCCATGAACCTCTCGGAGCTCCGCGCGGAGCTCTCGTATCGGCGCCGGGGCCCCCTGCCGGCGCCGAAGGCGCCCTCCGTGTGCCAGCCGACCCAAGAGTCGAGTCGCGAAGACTTCCGAGCAAAAATCCAGAAGCAGCGAAAACTGTAAGTGGTCAGAGTTGCGTTAAGAGGAACCGCTTCTAGACCACAGAGTTTGAAACGTGCGCCGTGCCGTGCCGTGCCACGCCCGCGTGCCGTGTCTTGGCTATTTAGGTTCTAGAAAACGGAAAATGAGCCTTACCGTGCCGCGCTTAGGCTGTAGAGTGCGACAAACGTGCCGTGCCGTGCTGTGCCCGCGTGCCGTGCCGTGCCGCGCGGTGCCTGGGCTGTAGAATGCGAGGAGGTGCCGTGCCGCGCCGCGCCGCGCCGCTGCTGCAGAATGCGAGGGCTGCGCCATGCCTCGTCTGCGTGCCGCGCCGTGCCGTGCCTGGACCCCAGCATGCGGCAGAGGTGCCCTGCCCTGCCGTACCCGCGTGCCGCGCCGTGCCCCGGCCAGGTCCTGGAGTGCGGAAGGCGTGCCGTGCCGTGCCGTGCCCGAGCTCCAGGGTGCAGCAAGCGCGTGCCGTGCCGTGCCATGCCCGCGCGCCGTGGCGTGCCGTGCTCGGCTTCTTGCGGCACTGACCACCCGCACTGAGCACGCCCCCTCCGATGCTGGCCTACCGCGTGTGCTCTCTCTCTCTCATGCAGCGCTGCTGCTCAGGGTTTCCTGGCACGGTGTAGTCCCTGAGATCCAACGTTGCAAGAAACACGCGACACCGTGAACAATAACGGCCACCAGAGCCATGGACCCCATCTTTCTGCTGCATTCTTCGAGCCCGATCGATCCGTGATGGTCCCGGGGTGCGAAGCCTGGCGAGAATGCCCCGGGGGCCAAAACTGCAGTGCCAGGATCTCAGGGGTTTCATTTAGCGCTGGCTTTTCTTTGGCGGCGAGCCCGGGGGGGAAGTGAGAAGGGGCGGGCTTTCTCAGAAGGCTCGAAAGTCCCCCAGCCTTCAGAGAAGTTGTCTAAGCCTTCCTCGAAGACAGAAAGCTTCTCAGAGGGCGCGAGGGCTTCTGAGAAGTCCCGCCGCCTTCTGAGAGGGCCTTCTCCTTTACATCTCCCCCCCCCTCTCTCGCCGCCGAATTCTTCTTCTGCGCAGCCCGTAGCCATCGCGGGCGGCCGCTTCACCCACGCCGTGGTGGACCGGGACATCGCCGGCAGCGCCTCGGGGGCGCAGCTCGTGCGGCTGCTGCCGGGGGACGAGCGCTACGTGGCCAAGTTCGCGGACGTCCGCCAGGAGTAACTGGGTACGGTCAACCCGCATCGTAAGGATGGGCAACCTTCCCAAGGGTACCTTCGCATCCTTGCGTCCTCGGTCCATCCTTGGCTACTTTCGTTGCCCGCGCCCTGCTCGAGAAGCTTCGAAGGCCCTTGCATCCTTATCGCGCATCCTCATGATACGGGCCGACTGTAGTCTGGGTCTGTCGGGGGCGGGGGATGGAGGGGGGAACGTTTCGGGTTCGAGGTCCGAGGTTTTTGTGCGTTCTCGTTGGTTCTCGGCGGTCTTCCAGCCTCGCGATGCCTTCCAGCAGCTGCGTCTCGCCGAGAGGCGTCCAGGGGTGCCCAGATCATCCCGAACGGCCGCCGGAGACGCGAATCATGGCCCAGAAGCCGGACGAGACGTGGAGTCATACGGAACCTATGTGCGTTCGCAGGTCCAGCTGAGGCGCCCTAGCGCACCCGCCGTTACCTACACGGGACGCCCCCTGGGCGATATCGGCGCCTCTCCGCTCCGCCAGGGGTCGCCACGAGTCGCCACGAAGCGAACGGGTCCTGAGTGAACCGCGTCCCGAGGTTCTTTGCCAGCCTGTGGCTCTCGGACCTTGAGGCCTGTAGAGAACCATCTTCTTTTTTTCTTTCTCCTCCTCCTCCTCCTCCTCCTCCTCCTCCTCCTCGGTCCAGGGGGAAGGGCTGGTCCCGGGGGAAGGGCTCCTGGTCCAGGACCCGTGTCAATCTGGACCCGTTTCCTTCATGTCAGAGGAGCTCGCGGTGCAGCGGGCGCTGGGCCGCATGAATGCGCGCTGGCGCGAGCGCGAGCTGACCTTGTGCGGCGTGCCCCTGGAGACGGTGACCTGCTCGATCTCGGAGGGGGCCCGTGGAGACACGAGCGGCCCTCCCTGCCGTTCTGTGTTTTTGTTGGGGCTGCTTGAGGCTTCTGGTCGCCACGGTTGGAATCGCTGCGGAGAACAGGCCAGGATGGACTTCTCGGGAGGGGTCTGGGAACTGCCTTTAAGCGGGTTTGGGCTGGGCGGGAGGCCCGCCGTTATCTCAGCTAACCCTCCTTCGACCACCGTGCCCCAGGGGTAGATGGATCGTGCCGCATCGCCGATGCATCAGCGATGCGGCTCGATGTGGAGCTCGATTTTCTCCACGCCGACGTCGCCGATGCATCGCCGATGCATCGCCGATGCATCGCCGATGCGCTGCCGACCGATGCGCTGGCGATGCATCGGCGATGCGGCAAGACCATCCGTCCCCATCTGCTTGGACTCCACTTTTGGGCGGCCTCCAGGTTCGATGATCCTCAGGACGTGTGCTAGCCCAATGTGTGTGTGTGTGTGTGTGTGTCTGTGTTGCCCGTGTGTGTTGCCCCGTTCAGCTCAACCGATGGCACGCAGCCTGTGTCGGCCCTCGTTGCGCTGCCTGCGTCGCATTGAGGAGCTTTGGTGGACAGGCACACGTCACCGTGAGAAATCACGACCAGAGCCGTGGACCCTACCTTTCTGCGGCGTTTTTCGAGCCGAATCGATCCGTGATGGTCCCGGGGCCCGAAGCCTGGCGAAAACGCCCGGGGCGCGATAGAGTTGTAAGCCCCGGATCAAGGGGGTAGGCGCTAACACGCTCGATGTGGAGAGCTCGATGTTCTCCACGCCGATGCGGATCGACCATCCGGCTCGATCTACTTGGGCACCATGTGGGTGGCCTCTGTTAGAGCACGCAGTCGCGCACGTGCGCGGTCCTTACAGTCGAGACCGATAATAGGGATGGGTATAGCCTTCCCCAGGGGTACTCTTCCAGAGATCGGACGCTGCAGCAAAATTTGGAGCGGGCGGTTCTGGGCTGTTTTCGGGCTCCGGGGACCCTCGCTGGGCCCCGGGACCGTCGAAAAACAACTTAGGACGAAACCTGCCCCAGGGAAGTGGTCCAGACCTCTGGGGCCCACGCATCGAACACATTTGAGCAGATGTCTACCCTTGCATCCTTGTCTCTTCGGTCCATCCTGAACCCCTTTCGATGGCCAGCCCCGCTCGAGGAGCCTCGACATGCGAGTACAAGGGACTTGCCTCCTTGCCGCGCATCCTTTTTATCTAATGGCCTGCGGCCCATCCCGCCACTGTGCCTGGGTTGTGGGTCATAGGCCTCTAGGGTGGGATGTCGCGGGAGGCCTCTCGGGGGCCTCTTGGGGGCCGTTTTGATACCTCTTGAGGCCGTTTTGGGGCCTCGTGGGGCGTCTTCGGGGGCTCTTGGGGGTTCTCTCGGGGTCTCGGGGGCCTCTTGGAGCAGAAGACTTGGATTTTCGGTTCGTGTTCCCCCTCTTGGGCCCTTCTTGGAGCTATCTTTGGGCCCTCTTTCTCCATCCTGGGCGCCTAAGGGGCCGTCTTGGAGCCCTCTTTGGCCGTGTTCCTCCTGGGGGCCTTTTGCGCCGTTTTGCTGCGATCCTGGTGGCCTCTTCGGCTGTCTTGGAGCGTCGGGAGCTCGAAAAGCCCAGGACCCCAAAATCATTGAAAAACCGATAGGGAATCGAAGACTGGCTTTTCGGGGCCCTCTTGGGAAGGTTCTTGAAGCTCTCTTGGGGCGTCCTGGAGGCCTCTTCGGCCGTCTTGAGACCATCTTGGGTGTCTTGGTGCGAGCTTTGGGCGTCACGGGGCCTTCTTGGACCGTCTTGGGGGCCTCTCAGGGACTCTTGGCCCGTCTTGGGGCCTTCTTGTGCCCGAAAAGGTCACGCGGGGAGATGCGCCAAGCCCCAAAGCCCCTGACAAGCCGCGACAAGCCCCGAGAGATTTGGCAATCGGGGCTCCAAGCCCCCTTCGAAGACTCCTCATGAGTGAGGACCGAGGCTTACAGCGGAAGCCCATGCCAAGAAACACCCTGCTTGCCTCCAGGGTGCCCTGGGTTTTTTGGGTTTCGATGGTTCTGCGATGGAAAGCATGACGCTCCCACGCCCAAAATCCGTGGACGTCCTGGGGTCTCGGGGTTGGGTTCCTTGTGGAAGGTTTCTTGTGGCCGAGCTCCTGCTGTGGCCCAACGTGTGTGTTGCCCCCTCAACCGATAGCATGTAGCCTGTGTCGGCCCTCGTTGCGCTGCCTGCGTCGCATCGAGGAGCTTTGGCGGACAGGCACGCGTCCCTGAGATCCGACGGTGACGAGAAGTCACGACCAGGCCCCCAGACCCCCAGACCCCGTTCTTCTGCTGCGTTCTCCGAGCCGAATCGATCCGTGACGGTCCCGGGGCCCGAAGCCTGGCCGAAAACGCCCGGGGCGCGATGGGATTGGGGAGAGGACCCGAGGGCACGCCCCCTCCGTGCCCAGAGGCACGGCGACGACGGTTCAGCTTGGCCTGTGTTCAGCGTTCGCTCGCTCCGCTCGCTCGCTCCGCCTCCCCTCCTTGCCGCGTGCCCTCGCCCCGCTCTCGTCGCGGTCGGCCTCCTGCTCCCTTGCCGCTCCTCCCTCCTCGCTCCTCTCTCGTTTCCCTTGGGGCGGCCTCCTGTGATCATCGACACCACCGAGGAAGAGGAGGAGGAGGAGGAGGAGGAGGAGGAGGAGGAGGAGGAGGAGGAGGAAGATTCCGAGGATCATCGATAGGCGAGCGACGCCACACAGACGGGCTCGATCGGTTGCGCGGACATCCGCGCGCGTATATAGCTGCTTGCGTGCGGCCGTGCGTAAAAGCGCCCTCGCCTCCGCTGCGGCGTGCCGCGCTGGAGGCCCGCGGGAGCCGCGGCGTAAGGCCGCTGTGCCATCGCGCGTAAGACCTGTTTTCGGTAGCAAATTATGGGGTACCCTCGTAACTCCGTCTTTAGCGTCGATGAGCGTCGAGTGGCGTCTGGGAGTCGATGAGATTGCGCCGAGTTAGCGCCTGCTGACAGCACCCAGCGTCGATTTAGCGCCGATTAGCGTCGACTAGCGTCGATTAGCGTCGATTCGCCAGAGCCGACAAGGTGGTATGGGAGGCTCCGAGGAGTTGCCACCGAAGTTTCACTCCGTCGCTCAGGTGACCTACTCCATCGTGCCCCTGGGGGACGCCGCGGGCCTGGTCCAGGCGGTGCCCTCCAGCAGGACGCTGAGGCAGCTGTGCCGGGGCTTCTCCCTCGAAGACCGGCACCTGCGCGTGCTCCACGCGCTGCAGGGCAGCGTGACCCGCCTGGACAGGCCCCGGGTGCTGCCAGAAGTGTTCCCGGCCCAAGGTGCCCCCAGGATTTCCAAGGAGGCCCCCACTCAGAGGGGGCAGAGGTATCCATGCCGCTACCCGTCCCTCGTTTTCGCCTCTGTGGGCCTCCTGGGCGGCTGGATTCGCATCGCAAGTCTGGTCAGAACGCACCTAGGGAGAAATCTGGGGAGTATCGGTATCAGTACCTTGTGGTTTCCCACCCACGGCCTCCTGAGCACCCCGCACGAGGCCCACAGGGCCCGAGGGACTTCAAAATGGAGCGAGAAGCTTGGGACACCTTGGCCCCAGGACACCTCCAGCAACGAAGGCTGGCGGCCTCAACGGCCGCGTACCTGACCGCTTGCTACTCCCTCGGCGTCGGCGACGGGCACGACGATAATATCCGAGGGAGAAAAATCGGCGCTACCATGGACTTTCGGAGCTCCGCGCGGATCTTTCGGATCGGCGCTTGAGACACCCCGAGGGGGTCCAGCGCCGGTCCTGGGGCTTTGTTGTGCTCTTGCTCGTTGACATTTGTCACGTGTGCGGGGCTACGTCGTCAATGCCGCGCTTTCCTGTGGCTTTGCTGTGTTCCGGCTCGCAACGCACACCGCCAGAGGAGATCCATCCACAAACAAGTTCCAGAAATCCGCACGGGCATTGGACCATTTATGTTTGTGCAGCTTCTTCTCCCTCCAAAATCATGCTGCGCGCCGACGGGTCGCTGTTCCGCGTCGACTTCGGCTACGTGTTCGGGGCGCGCCCGAAGCTGGACGCCCCGCAGACGGTACTGCCGAAGGCCGTGACCCACGCGCTGAGCGAGTCGCGGCTGGGGCCGCTGGTGCCCCGGCGGTGCGTGCAAGCGGGGTGGTGCGTGGGGCGTGGCCGGGCCCCAGAAACGGCAGGGCCGTTTTTTCACCGTTTGCGAAAAAGGTTTTCTCGAAAGTGGAAATGGTATTTAAAAAACGGCGACCGGAAACGGCCAAAAAACGGCTCCGGGATTGGAACCAGAACCAGGAACGGCGACGGAACCGGCAACAAAAACGGCGACGGAACCGGCAACAAAAACGGCAAATCGGAACTGGTAGAGAAGCGGCCGAACGGCCCTGTCGTTTCCAGGGCACACTGAAGGCCTTCTGATGGGGCCAGCGACGGGCCGCTTCCGGGAAGGCTACGGCAGGCTCGCGTCCTGTCGACCAGCGCCGACTTCAGCGCGGGCGTTCAAGGCTGAACGCCGCCGGCGACCCAGAATCGGTCGAAGTTGAACGATCTGACGGTTCCCGAAGAAAAAAGTATCGCCACTATCACATAAGTTTTTGGCTCTCCGCGCGGATTTCTTGGATCCGCGCTGGGCCTCCCGGGCGGCGCCTCCGGCGCCGCCCCTGGCGCGCTCCGCGCGCCAGGGAGAAGGCTCCAGCGCAGATCCAAGGAATCCGCGCGGACCGTCGAAGCTTTCTGCTTATGCCGTTTTTTCTGCTTCTGGTGTCGGGAACGGCCGATCGCTCCAGGTTGAACGATCCCCGCGGTGTCAGGAACCACTGCCGAAGTCGGGACGGCAGGAGCCTTCCGTGTATCCAGAGGCTGGGCGGGGCTGCCCAGGAGCCGCCCCTCGCCCCTTTCGCACCCTCGGGCCCGACGTTGCGAAGCAGCGCAACATCGCGAAGAGTCACGATCGGAGCCCTCAGAATTTCTGCGGCATTGGACCGTCGAAGCTTTCTGCTTATGCCGTTTTTTCTGCTTCTGGTGTCGGGAACGGCCGATCGCTCCAGGTTGAACGATCCCCGCGGTGTCAGGAACCACTGCCGAAGTCGGGACGGCAGGAGCCTTCCGTGTATCCAGAGGCTGGGCGGGGCTGCCCAGGAGCCGCCCCTCGCCCCTTTCGCACCCTCGGGCCCGACGTTGCGAAGCAGCGCAACATCGCGAAGAGTCACGATCGGAGCCCTCAGAATTTCTGCGGCATTGCTCCCGGCATCGCTCGGACGTGTGCGTGCTTTTTTTTTTTTTTCCTCGGCGAGGACCTTCGAGAATCATCCTTGGTCCTCTGGCAGCAAGAAGCACGCACGGAACCGAACAGTTGCACGGGGAACGGACGTCCGAGCGACGGCAAGTGCTCGGACCGCATCGACCCGTGATGGCCCCGGGGTCCGAATCCTGGCGAAAGCGCCCCCTGCGACGACGTGGCGGTTGCCGCTGCTGCCCCCCCCGCCCGCGCGTTTCGCGCCTCCCTCCTTCCCTTCCCTGCCCCATTCCTCTCTCGAGTGCATGCTTTCCCATACACCACAGTATCCTGGCGCCACGGCGCCACCGCTGCGTTCCCAGAGGGACCGCGCCCCAGCGCGCACGCGAGCGTCCGTCCGTCCGTCCGTCCGTCCGTCCTCTCTCTCTCTCTCTTTCTCTCTCTTTCTCTCTCTCTCTCTCGTTCTCTCTCTCTTCCTTCCTTTTCCCTCTCCCCGCCCGGTGGCGCAGGGTCAAGACCGCGCCGCGCGACCCTCCCGAGGTCTGGGTCAGAGGCACATTTCGCCCGCAGCTTGGTCGAGGTTGCGATGGGGGGGACGACAGGGCTCATTTCGACTCCTCCGTTTCGAGTCGATTCGATTTCGATGGCTTCCGATTCCGATTCGATTCGACTTCGGACTCCGAGTTAGATTCCGATTTCTCAATGGAAGCCTACTAGCCTGCCGACTTCCGCCGATTCGACTTCTCCCGATTCGGTTGCCGACTTCTGCCGATCCGATTCATGTCGATCGCCGACTCGATCAATCGATTCGATTCTGGGGTCTCCTGGGAGGAGTTCGCACGGGTCTAGGACGAGGATGAA